TTACATAATCAACGAACAAACAGCATAACAGCATTTTCTAATTTTCATGATCTATTTATTAGCAATAAATAAAAGGTTTTTTTTTTCTGTTGTTGCTGTTGTTAATAGTTACCTTTACATTTGTGCACAGCAACAGTTGTTTTGCTAAAGAATAAGAATGAAATTGAATGAGGGAGGGAATAGGATACGGAAAAATTGGTATTATCGAAAGTTAAGTATCGAAAAAAAAAATACTCAACTAATTACAGTTATTTTTCCTGTCTTTCAATACTGTTAATCATTATCATACGCCATCATTATCGTCATTATTTTCTCAACTTTTCAACAGTCTTATTTCCATATGATAGTACCATTTATGTTGTCAATTAATTGTTTCATTTTTCCCGGAAAAGTCTGTAGATGAAATTATATTAAGTTGTCTATTCTATTTTTTCTGTTCTTTTCTTTTTTTTTTTTTACTGTTGTTACCCTAAAAGTACAAATTAATTGTTTTAGATAGTTCAAAAAAAAAAATTTTTTTTTTTTGATGTGTTAAAATAATGAAGATAAAAGAAGAAGGAAAGGAAAGACGGTAAAACGAATTTTTTAGCAACAAAAGTTTTGTGCTGAGTAAGTTTGAAATAAAAAAAGTAGATGAAAGGATCTAGTTGTTTGATGGTGTGGAATTGATGATGGAAACTGTTGATCAAGGGTTTTGTTGTTTTCTGATGATGGTGATGATGATACTTCATCTTGTTTTGTCTTTTTTCTTTCTTGCTTAGTGTAAATTTCTTTTTTTTTTTGTTTTTGCTGCTATTTTATTCTTACCTTTGGACAATTTTTTTTCTTCTACTGATTTGATGTTTATAACGCCAACAAAAAATGAAATTGGTGCTCAAAAAAAGCGAATACTAATTGCCTTTTTTTTTTTTTGTTTTTCGGTTTGGTTTAGTTTGGTTTGGTTTGGTTTGGTTTATAACATGACATTATTTGAACAATAAACTTCCAATGGCATATAATGCTTTCAGTCTTCCTTCCTTTTTTTTTT